GATTCAGTGAGAGAGAGATACACACAGGGCGAGAAGGAGATTGAGAGGGAGAGAGAGACAGGGAGAGAGGGAGATTCAGTGAGAGAGAGTAACGAAGAGAAAGAGGAGAGGAGGGGAGAGGTGGGTAGGCGATGGCCTAGTGGTATTATCACGGGAGTGTTAATCCAGAGACCCAGATAATGTTCTGGGGACCCAGATTCAAATCCCGCCATGGCAGATGGTGGAATTTGAATTCAATAAAATATCTGGAATTACAAATCTAACAATGACCGTGAATCCAGTGTTGATTGTTGGGAGAACCCATCTGGTTCACTAATGTCCTTTAGGGAAGGAAACTGCCATCCTTACCTAGTCTGGCCGACATGTGACTCCAGACCCACACAGCAATGTGGTTGACACTTAACTGCCCTCTGGGTAATTAGGGATGGGCAATAAATACTGTCTGGTCAGCGACGCCCTCATCCCGTGAATGATTTTTTTTAATGGAGAGGGGCAGCGATGGAGAATGAGTGAGACAGAAGAAGAGATGGACAGAAACGGTACGGTAACCCAACGGTTAGCGCCGCTGCCTCATGGTGCCAGGAGCCCGGGCTTGATCCCACCTTCGGGCGACTGCCTGTCTGTCTGTGTGGAGTTTGCACGTTCTCCCCCCGTGTCTGCGTGGGTTTCCCCCGGGTGCTCCGGTTTCCTCCCATACTCCAAAGGTGTGCAGGTTAGGATGGGTTGGCCGTGGGAAATTGTCCCATAGTGCCCAGGGATGTGCAGGTTAGGGTGGGATTGGCCATGGGAAATTGTCCCGTAGTGCCCAGGGATGAGCAGGTTAGGGTGGGATTGGCCGTGGGAAATTGTCCCATAGTGCCCAAGGATGTGCAGGTTGGGGTGGATTGGCCGTGGGAAATTGTCCCGTAGTGCCCAGGGATGTGCAGGTTAGGGTGGGATTGGCCGTGGGAAATTGTCCCGTAGTGCCCAGGGATGTGCAGGTTAGGGTGGGATTGGCCGTGGGAAAT